AAATGATCTCACCTCTCAAGATTTGATAAAACTTTGTGCTAATAGACAAGCACATCCATCTGATTAAAAACAATAATAAAATACGGTTTTCCATTAGTTTGTATGAATAAATTTTATAAGAGTAAAAATGTTTGTGTTTTTATTTTATGAAATCTTCAGGGGGGGCGCCAAATGATTAAATATTTTTAAGGGAGGCGTAGTAACATCAAGTTTGGAAACCACTGCCTTATGCAATATTTCATGATTCAGTAATGATCTAATTATCTGGAATTTGGGGACAAGTGTAGCTCCAAATAACAAGTTTTTCTTAAGAATAACGAGCTTATTATTTTTCTTTTAGGCACGTATTTTGTATGAAAAATATATGCCTGAAGGATTTGATGGAATGAAAAATCGTATTTTATGAAGCATGTATGAACGTATTTTTGTAAGGAAATATGCATGAATTTTGTATAAAAATAAAATATATGCCTATGAGTTCAAACATCTTTTTTGAATACATAACATCATAACAAGAAAAAAAAACATGCACACCAACACTCACTTTAAGTAAAAATCAGAAGTATTATGCATTAGTAACAATGAAGTGTAAAATAAGATTAACTACTGATGAGAGCATTATGTACAAAATAAAGGGTTCTTTAATAGCCCCATTTGGAACCAGGGCTTAATAGAGACGTTGGTCCGAGATCACTAATATTTGATAAAACAATTGAAGTGGTCCCCCATATAATATGGACCACCATAAATAATTAACCCAGACAGGCAATATTTTTTAAAAAGATTGTATGCTATTTCGTCATAATAGTAACAATCTCTGAATTGCAATTTTTAATTTAATTTAAATTCACTTAATTAAGAAAATAGAGACATATACAGAGCCTGACTAAGGAAGAGGCATACGAGGCAGTTACCCTGGGCCCCCTAAACTGAATAGAAAATTTATTTTACGTTTCCTTCTTTAATGAACTTTTTTTAAACAAAATGTCAGTTTTATGTTACAGTTATGTGACAGTACAGTGTAAAATCTGTCAGTTTTATGTTAGCTTCATTAATCTATCGTATGAACACAATCCATATATAGCTTCCTAGGATGGAATTCAGCTAAGTTTTGGTAATCATGATGGGCACATTTGGCCTATCAAATGCCTGTATTTTTACACATCGCAAAATTCGATATGTTTACAAAACTACAGAATTCTGATTGGCTTAACCCCTTAATGATCAATTAATTTTCAAGAAAACTGCCATTAAAAGTGTTTATTTTCTTATACACGTATTTGATTAGTACTGAGATTTATTTTAAAATAAACTAACTGAACACTCCAGCCCGGGAATATCCAGGAAGCGAGAAATAGAGGGCAAAACCTCACCCCGTCATTTTCACGGGAGCGAGAAGTGAAGCCACCGCAATTATGAGATTTTAGCTGAATTCCTCTCTAATGTCAGCAAATATGTGAAACTTTAACAGCTAGATGACAAAGTTAACAATCAGAAAGCTGCATTTGGTATGATGGACATAGAATTGTCAGAAAATCAATAAAATAGACAGAGCGACATTTCATCTGTCATTTGGAGGGGGGACTTTATGACTATTTTAGGCTCTAGTCAATTTTCTTGTTATATATGTATAATGAGGTGAAAAATTTAAATACCTTCATAAAGTTCGGTTCTTCATTACTGAAGCAGAGAGGAGGCCCCAATTAGGCTAAGTCGGGCCCTGGACATGTAAACGTGTACAAACCTGGTAATACATTTTTTGATGAATGGTCCTTTTAACCAGCGTCTAATTTTTTAGTTTTTACCCCCAAAGAATTGTTTGTTAAAAATTGAAAGGAATTTTTTTTAATGCCCTAAATAGATAGATTTAATATTTATATGCCTCTATGAACTACTAGTAGGGTATGTTGGGCAACTGGTAGACATAGATTGCATTATTTTCTTTCACAAAGTGATTCAGGTAACTGAATTATTAAAAGGTGGAATTACTCTCAAGGACATTGATAAAAAAAATATATTGCAAGCTTCTATTCACCAAAAAAATTCCATTTTGAATTTTAAATTATTTAAGTAGTTAAAAAGGGTTCAATATTAATTTTTTTTAAAAATTAACTTCAGAAAGAAAAAATTAAAATAGAAACATGTAAGCGTGTACAGACTAGTAATATTTTAAGTAATTGATCTATGGACCATTAACAGATAAAATGATCTCACCTCTCGCAAAAGTAGTGAAAATTCTGCTTTCCAGAAATACCACATTGCTAACAAAGAAGTCGTTGAGCAACTATAGTTTTGATGATGAGATTCAAGTGTATCTTCTACAACAAAATTGAAAGGATCCTGAAAAAGTTTTTTTAAAAATGGATCAGTATTTTAAGGTAAAGTATAGTATCACATGATAATTATAATGTATATGTAATGTAATGATAATGTATAGTATCACATAATTATAATTTTACATAGAATCGTATAGTGTGTCTAATAATATGGCCATGGACTATAGGTAGGCACTTTATTAGCGTCACAACTAGAGCTGCAAAATAGTCTGGGAAATATCCCTGATTATGGTCTGATCACAATTTTGATCCTCTGCACATTTATGAGATCACTTTCTCAAATTAGACATAGCTCTGAAGGGGAAGAAAATTTTCGCCAAATCCCTGTAACCATGGTATTGCTATTCTGCCACCCACCACAGATTTTGCGTACATCGCATGTACTCGAGGACTGGATGAGAGCCCGATTCTCTAACTCGTGGGCTACCACGGCCCTCGGTATTTTGAGAAAGGAGGGAAAAAAACTTCAATAATAACAAACAAATGTATAAAAATAATTTCTAGTCTAGGAGAAGTTAATCATTTAAAAATTAGTGTTTGATTTTTTCTCTTATCTTCCTATTTTTAGCACAGCAGCTTCATCTTCCCTAAACCTCAACGTAAATGAAAAGTAAAGATTTTTAAAAAAAATTATCAGATTTTCTTTATTTTTTAAATTGAAGTATATTTAGGCATATTTAAGCAAACATATATGTTAACCTCAACCCTTCAAGTTAGAAGTTCAAATCAATTAATACACAATTATTTTAAAGAAACTTAATACATACGGAACTAAAAGATAAACAAACTGAAAACAAAAGAAGCATTATAAAAATTCAATAACGGGCGCATGAAGCTGCTAAAAATAAGCATAAACAACTTACAATTTGACATACTAAAACAAATGGAAATTAAGTAACTACCACATAATTAATCAATTAGAATTTTAAAAAATAAAGTTTTTAAAATTAGGATATTTTTATTTCGAAAGTTGGTCATAATTCTAATGACACATACAGATAAAAACTTTCAAAAAATATGAAGGGAAGTAAAATTTGAATGCTCAAAAATAGGCATCCATTCTCAAGACTTTCACCACCTTTATATTTTTGTATATCTTTCTTTCCAGTTCCTATAGAAATTTCATTTTTAGTTATACATGGCTGCCAACACGTACAGAAAAAAAATTCAAAAGATTTAATGAAATAATATAAATTTCATGTTAATTGTTGCAAAATATATTAAATATTTTGCACATAGGGAATTTTAGGAATTTTTATAATCATCCAATTAGAAAAACTGCCATATTTTTTTCCACGTATGATTTCACATTAAATGATCTTGAAATGTTACGTATTATGTTTATTCATAATTTTGAATAGTAATAGGCATTTAATTCCTCTAAGATAGTTAACTGAATTTAATGAATGAGGCTCTCTTCTTTATGTATTAGTGCCACTTATTTAAATTTTCAAGCAAGCAATAATTTGCACTAAAACCAGGAGTATTTTTATTAAACCAGTAGACCAGGAGAAACTGGCGAAATCCAGTAGGCTTGACAGCTATGGTTATAGCATGTGCACAGGTGGTTTTTTGAAGGCATGCAAACCCAATTTCGAACAGGTCCGTTGTCAAGTGCACAAACACCTTTAATCCTTTCTTAGAAAAGATTACTTCCACCCTATATGATCTTACAAAGCACAGTTGCAAGAAGTGCAGAAATCACTGCAATATACAGTAGCATGCTGACTATTTAAGAAGTTTCTAATAAGATTTTATGTAAAAAAAACAACACCCGTTTATTAATATGCTACAGTAGGCACTATCACAATTGCCAATCTTAAATCAGGGAAGTAAAGATACTTTAAAACATTCTTAGCCATTTTTTTAAGTTGTTAAGATTAGCTCTGGTCGCGATTGATCTGGATAATCGATGTATTGCCTTTCTTTGCTCAGTTTTGAGCTGCTATCCACTGTTTGATTGATTGAATAGAATTAGCATAGTTCTAGACAGTGATTGGATTATGGTAGTACATTTCGCTTCATGTGTACAGAGCATGATGTACTTCTGTGCATTGCAAGATGTTTCTCATCTCTTCACGGTAAATATTCACCATCATCATAGTTGGCCAGACAGCCCAATGTGAGCCAATGCCTTCCTCGGCAGATTTCTGCATAATGACTTCCGATTTATATTTGATCTCCAATTCTTTTCATTAATTGAAAGAAAATCAGACTCCACCGAGGCAGTCCATCTCGATCGCAGCCTTCCCTGCTTTCTTGTTCCAGTGGGTCCAGCATATTTTTTATTGTATTGTCATCACACATTCGAATCGAGTCAAATAATTCATTTTATTTATTTTTATGTATTTAATAATATCGGGTTGTTTATAAATCTTGTACATTTCAAAGTTAAATCTCTTTCTTGAGTTATTGTTTTCATTTACACCACAAGTACAGTCTGCAAAATCCTTCTCACAAATATTGCGATACATTTTTCCTTCAGTTTCTCTACATTAATTAATAAGCCCATTTGCCTTGCAGCCACCTCAAGGGCAAGAAATGCCTCTTCCAGGGCAAAAAGGGGAGGAGTAGTTAATTACACCAGAAAATATTCACCATTAAATTCAATTTTCTTTCAGACTATGCGATTGTTTATTTGTTAATAAGCCATAAAAAACACTAGAAATTTGAAAAGCTTAACTTTCGTATTATAATTCATAAAATGGATCTAACACAAATATTGTAACACTCCATAGAGACTTTCATATACAACTTTCAATTATAAAAGTAGGAAATGAGTTTAATTGATTTTTGTATCTTGTAGTCATAATTTTTTGACGCTTCCAAAATTAGGATTGGTAAGACACACAACATACTATACTATACTCAAAAAATAAAATATATTTCCTTAAATGCTATTGTTTAATCGTTAATTAATCATAAAAAACACTAGAAATTTGAAAGCCTTCACTTTTATGTTATAATTCAAAAAATAGATCTAACATAAATATTGTAATGCTCCAGAGACTTTCATAAAAAGCCTTCCAACATAAAAGTAGAAGTTGAAACTTTTTCTGAACCTGGGAATAATTTACACTTCAGTTGTGCATGAGTATCGAATCTATTTTTTAAACTTGTAACAATAATTATTCGAACATCTCGATTTGATGTAATCTTTGGCCTTCTGGAACGTGTACGATCAATGTAGAGTTCTGTTTCATTGAACCTTTTAATTGTAGAATGAACGCATGCTAATGAAACATTTTCTAATGCAGCGATTTTGTATATAGTGTGACCTGCTTTTCTTAAAGATATTACAGCTGCACGTTTTTCAGTTGATATTTCTTTTCCAGGATATATACTTAGAATGTTGCTTCAATGAAAATAATTTAATAGTAAAAAAATTTGTCGATGTAATTTTATAATATATTCTTCAAATTAACAAGAGACATAGTTTCGAATGCAAGAAAAAATTTTTTTTCGATGAAATGTGACTGTTCGGTCTTAAGCGAAACACCATCTGTTGTAATAGTAAAAAAATTTGTCGATGTAATTTTATAATATATTCTTCAAATTAACAATAGACATAGTTTCGAATGCAAGAACAAAATTTTTTCCGATGAAATGTGACTGTTCGGTCTTAAGCGAAACACCATCTGCTGTAATTGTTTTGAACTAGTCAGTTGCTCTTGAACTCTTGTTTGAGCCAATCGTGGCTACTATTGCACTAGTGCAATGATTTTGGCTAGATTATTTACAATTGTTAAATAAAGTATTGTTTGTTAAACTTCTAGTATTCAATGAAATAGCTCATGGTGTACTTGATTCTGAAATTTTGAGGGCTTACATAGAAAGGTTCAAATAACTATTTTCCATTAACAGAAAGAACAAATACGTTTTTTTGCAAGTTTGGCAAGTGTTCAAACTTAAAATTTTTTTTCACCATAAAAAGAACCTTGACGAAAAGCTGGATTCAGCTCGCAAAAAAACAAAGTATTGCAATTTGATCATATGTAACTAATTGTAGAGGACTTACTTTAGATCACATCAAATTTTCATGCAATTTTAATGATTTTTCGTAGTTCTATGAACATTTGAATTTAGATCCTTTCATTATAGATTTCAAAATTTTCACAAACTTTTGACCGGTAGTGTACTATATATAAAAAAACACTAGAAATTTGAAAGGCTTCACTTTCGTATTATAATTCATAAAATGGATCTAATATAAATATTGTAACACTCCATAGAGACTTTTATATAAAACCTTCCAACATAAATGATGGAAATGAGTTTTATTGATTTTTGTGTCTTGCTGTCATAATTTTTTCATGCTTGCAAAATTATGATTGTTAAGACACAAAACATACTATAAATAATATATAAAATATATATAAAATCCTACTATAAAAAAAAAACACTAGAAATATGAAAGGCATCACTTTTGTATTATTATTCATAAAGAGGATCTAATATAAATAATGTAACACTCCATAGAAACTTTCATACAATATGTAGGAAATGAGTTTTATTGATTTTTGGGTCTTGCTGTCATAATTTTTTGATGCTTCCAAAATTATGATTGTTAAGACACAGAACATACTATATATATAAAATCATACTAAAAAAAACACTTGAAATTTGAAACGCATCACTTTTGTATTATTATTCATAAAATGGACCTAATATAAATATTGTAACACTCAATAGAGACTTTCATACAACATCTTCCAACATAAAAGTAGGAATAAAATTTTATTGATTTTTGTGTCTGGTTGTCATAATTTTTTGATGCTTCCAAAATTATGATTGTTAAGACACACAACATACTATATTATACATACATAAAATATAAATATTAGAACACTCCGCAGACACTTTCATACAACACCTTCCAACATAAAAGTAGGAAATAAATTTTATTGATTTTTGTGTCTGGTTGTCATAATTTTTAGATGCTTCCAAAATTATGATTATTAAGACACACAACATATTATATTATACAAACATAAAATAAAAATATTATAACACTACATAGAAAATTTCATATAAAACCTTCCAACAATAATGTAAGAAATGAGTTTTATTGATTTTTGTCTGGTTGTCATAATTTTTTGATGCTTCCAAAATTATGATTGTTAAGACACAGAACATACTATACTATATATATAAAATCATACTAAAAAAAAAAAAAAACACTTGAAATTTGAAACGCATCACTTTTGTATTATTATTCATAAAATGGACCTAATATAAATATTGTAACACTCAATAGAGACTTTCATACAACATCTTCCAACATAAAAGTAGGAAATGAGTTTTATTGATTTTTGTGTCTTGCTGTCATAATTTTTTGATGCTTCCAAAATTATGATTGTTAAGACACACAACATATTATATTATACATACATAAAATATAAATATTATAACACTACATAGAGAATTTCATATAAAACCTTAAACGTAAATGTAGGAAATGAGTTTTATTGATTTTTGTGTCTTGCTGTCATAATTTTTTGATGCTTCCAAAATTATGATTGTTAAGACACACAACATATTATATTATACATACATAAAATATAAATATTATAACACTACATAGAGAATTTCATATAAAACCTTCCAACAATAATGAAGGAAATGAGTTATATTGATTTTTGTGTCTGGTTGTCATAATTTTTTAATGCTTCCAAAATTATGATTGTTAAGACACACAACATATTATATTATACACACATAAAATATAAATATTACAACACTACATAGAGAATTTCATATAAAACCTTAAACATAAATGTAGGAAATGAGTTTTATTGATTTTTGTGTCTTGCTCTCATAATTTTTTGATGCTTCCAAAATTATGATTGTTAAGACACAGAACATACCATACTATATATATAAAATATAAATATTATAACACTACATAGAGAATTTCATATAAAACCTTCCAACAATAATGTAGGAAATGAGTTTTATTGATTTTTGTGTCTGGTTGTCATAATTTTTTGATGCTTCCAAAATTATGATTGTTAAGACACAGAACATACTATACTATATATATAAAATCATACTAAAAAAAAAAACACTTGAAATTTGAGACGCATCACTTTTGTATTATTATTCATAAAATGGATCTAATATAAATATTGTAACATTCCTTAGAGACTTTTATACTACATCTTCCAACATAAAAGTAGGAATTAAATGTTACTGATTTTTGTGTCTGGTTGTCATAATCTTTGATGCTTCCAAAATTATGATTGTTAAGACACACAACATACTATACTATACATATATAAAAACTTTACTATATATATAAAAATATACTATATATATAAAAAAAAAAACACTAGAAATTTGAAAGGCTTCACTTTTGTATTTAAATCATAAAATGGATCTAATATAAATAATGTAACACTCCATAGAGACTTTCATATAAAACATTCCAACTTAAATGTAGGAAATGAGTTTTATTGATTTTTGTGTCCTGCTGTCATAATTTTTTGATGCTTCCAAAATCATGATTGTTAAGATACACAACATACTTTATTATACATACATAAAAACTATATACATATATATACTTTATATATGAAAACATACTATATATAAAACAATACTAGAAATTTAAAAGGCTTCACTGTTGTATTATAATTCATAAAATGGATCTAATATAAATATTGTAACACTCCATCGAGAGTTTCATACAAAACTTTCCATAATAAAAGTAGGAAATGAGTTTGATTGATTTGTGTGTCTTGTTGTCATAATTTTTTGACGCTTCCAAAATTATGATTGTTAAGAGACAAAACATAATATACTATCATCAGAAAATAAAATATATTTCCTTAAATGATATTGTTTAATTGTTAATTAGCCATAAAAAAAACCTAGATTTGAATTTAGACCTTTTCTTTATAGATTTCAAAATTTTCACAATCTTTTGACCGGTAGTGTACTATATATAAAAAACACTAGAAATACAAAGGCTTCACTTTTGTATTATAATTCACAAAATGAATAAAACATAAATATTGTAATACTCCATAGACTTTCATACAAAACCTTCCAACATAAAAGTAGGAAATGAGTTGCATTAATTTTTGTGTCTTGTTGTCATAATTTGATGCTTCCAAATTATGATTGTTAAGACACAACATACTATGCACAACAGAATCACTTAGAAATCTACCTATCACATTTTTTAGCTTTCTAATGAATGACATTTATTATTCTATTTAGGATACAAAAGATAAATTCAAAAATATCAGATAGGGTAAAATATCCTTTATTCTATTTATGATAATAAAAGATGAAACCCTATCTTGTTAATATTGATGCCTGCTTAAGCATTTCTACAATACTCTTGTAGAAATGCTCTGATTGACATCATAACAATCTTTTCAATAAATACCTTTGCTTTCACGGCTAGCTTCATTTTTTTTTTTTTTTTAAATATCAAGCTGACAATAAAGTAAATCCTTTATAACACAAACCTTGAAACACAAGGTTTTGAGCTTAATATCTTTAAATCTGATTGCCTTGAAGGGTTAATATTTCAGAGTTTCATCGAGGGAATTGTGGCATAATTTTTTCAAGCTATCTGCGACTAAACTCTCTACTCTAGCACTATTATATTTCTGCAAGGTACTTTTAATAAACATATATGTAACCTTTTTAAAATAACAAAAGCGCTGTGTTTACAAAAAAAAACTATATATTATTTTTTTAATTGGATATGTAATAATTTTTTATTCTAATATTGGGTCTTACATATTGTTGGGGTGGGAGTTGTACGTACAAATTATTACCTTCTTCACATTTTGTAAATAATTGTTACAATAAAAAAAATAATAAAAATCATGAAAAAAACTAAAATTCATAGCAGTAATTTGCCGAAAAAAGATCGATGCGAATCAGACTCCTCAAATACATGTATCGTTTCAAGATTAGGTTATTGTAATAAATAATATTGTACAGAAAATATCCAATTTAAAATGGAGAAATCACTAGCAATAACTGCCAAAAATTCAATAGCATTATTGAATTAAAAAGTAAATACTCAAATGCAAGATTCGAATTTTCCATATTGTTTGAAATATATCTGAATATTTAAAACTCTTGTGAAAATCAATATCAGTAACTACTGAAAATACAATCGAAACATTACATCAATTTGAAATATTATTCGTCGTAAATTGAACTTGTTAAAAAGTGCTTATCTAAATGCATGATTCAAATATTGCGTCAAAATAAAATATTCCGTTTTTTTTTTCTGCGGAAAAAAAATTTAAGTGTTTCACTCTTCAAAAGAAAAATTTTCCTGCAAGAACTATGTAACAATGTTGCCGGGTTGCAGTTATTCTGCCACTGGGTATCAAGGACTGGAATGGTTAGTTATTTGCAATATTGACATCATTTTTATGTATACAAAATTGTGACATTTTAACAATTTCTCAAACAGTTCATTCCCATACTCTATAATTAATATTTTGAGCTAAAATCTATTTAAATATAAATAAAATTTATATTAATTCTAATGCAAATAGACTGGAAGTTCAAAAACAATAATATAGATAATTTCATGTACCTTTAAACTAACCGACTAATCATGGCAATATTAGCTGGGGACACAATAATTGTTAGATGCCAATACCTCACCAAAATATACAGTTAAGTACAGTAGGGAACCGATCATCCAGAACGATCGGGACCATCACTATTCCGGATAACTAATTTTTCCGGTTTTCTGAATCGCTACAAAAAGCCGTTTTTTTTTTTAATTGTTAAACCAAACTAAAAAAAAAAAAAAATAGTTGGAAATAATCTTAATAAGAAGAAAAAACGATGAAGTAATACACTAATGATTATTTCCAAAATTATGGTAAGGTAAACATCTTTCAAAAAAGAAAGAAAAATCCTAAAATCTTATGAGGAAAAAAATTTTTTTTTTAAAAAATGGCTGGAAAATTTATCGAATTTCGTTCCGGTTTTTTAGTTTTCTGATTTCCGGATAACGGGTTCTGTACTTATTTACAGAAAAAAATTTTTTAGCATAAAATCTAATAACAAATTAATTTCAGTTTGCTTAACTTTGCAATAGTAACCTAAATGCAATAGCATAGAGTTCTATAAATATTGAACATTTTTTTAAAAAATCCATGATTTTCAGACAGATTTTGCCAAAATGTGATGAAAGGGTTGAAACTAGTTACAAGAGTTAATCAATACCAGTTTTTTAATTGAGATTTTATGTTCATAGAATTTTTTCGTTTTATCAAAGTCTGGTTATGAGAAAGAAATTTTTAGATATATTCCAAAAATAGCTACTTAGTGTGTGCTTTGTAAATTCATTATTTTTATAAATATTTAATAAAAATAATATTATAAATAGTTCATAAAAATATTATTATAATAAATATTTTATAAATATATGCTATTTCAAATATCCTCCAGTTTTCATATAAAAAAAAAATTTAAATAATTCTTGTTAAAAAAATTAATTTTCTAAAGTACTTACTAATCATTACCACAAAACTTAGAAATTCTTGATCACGTATATTTTAATTGTGTTTATACAAAAGAAATTATGCTAATTTAATAATGGTTTTTACCGGCAATTTAAGAGAAATTTCCTTATAGTTTTCACATTACAGAGCATTTTTAAGATGTCATCAGTAAAAGCCTCTTGAAATTTAACATAAACTTTAAAATCACATGATGTTAACTTTTACAACAAAGATATTATTTTCATAAAAATTTTGCATAATAAACAAGAATTTTTAAAAAAAAATTTGTAATTTTCATTAAGTAGAGTTGATTTGTTTATTCCAGTACAAAATGTTTTCAAATGATATGAATCTGTGTTACACATTACCTGAGTAACTGTTTCTTTCAACAGATGATAAGGGCACCTGACAATGTGAAAATTACTATCCTCTATAACCACTTTGTTGCTGAAAAAAAATTTGAACATATTAACAATCTTACCAGATTTCATTCAAAAAATAAATTTATATGATAGTATAGTTACACAATTACATACCCTTTACAAGGTCCCAAGAAAGAGCTGATCATAGACTCTAAATAAGGAGAGAGAAAAAAGATAACTAAGATTTATATACTTCAAAATATCAAACAATATTATCAAATAATAATTAGGCATCAATCAATAACTGTTAGGGATTTATAATTCAAGTGTCTCTTAAGATTGTTAGAACTATTATATAATTTCCATTTTTATTACTTACAGTTTTAAAATGTTTGCATCAATCTCACAACACAACCATAATTTTTAATAAACACTTGTCAGATTACCAGGGGTGATAGTGAGCCCAACTTAAAAATCCTGAATATTTCTTGAGTAAAATCATTAATGACTCATTTAAAAAAATTTATGTCTTTATAAATTTAAATCATTGATATTTTCACAGCATGAAATTCCAAAAAAATTTTATGAAGTATAATTTAAATTAATAATATTGTTCAAGTTTACTTTTATTTCCAATCACATTTATTATTCTACCAGAAAAAATATTTACAAATGAAAGAGATGCCAAATCTAAATTCTAGTTCCAATATTTTTAAATAAAATATACAAGAAATTTTATACATAAATATGATCAATGCTTTCTTGAAACTTCTGGACCTAGCAGTTCTGGATCGTGGTTATCAAAAAGTCCAGACTTTTCGTTCCGAAAGCACAACCAAATCTCTGGATTACAGCACAACCTGGGTTGCCAGATTTAAACCAGGCAAAAAACAGCAGTTTTTTGGTCAACCCATCAACAGGTGTTTTTTCCCCCTTCTTTTTTTTAGTTTTAAACAATAAAAAAAAAAGACTTGGTAAAACAAAAAAAGCCGACATTTATTAAAACAAAATATTTTTCAAAAAACTGAGAATATTCAAGAACTATTATGTTGTTAATTAATAAAGTGGTATCATTAGATGGTCGAAATAATATGGAACAGCAGTTCTGCACTTTCAAAACTTGTTTAGCTTGAAGAAACTGCTTTAAACTTTAAAAGTATGAAGAACAATAATTTTTAACGACTTGCAATTATAATAATCAATTTTCCAATATTTGAAACCAAATAAATGTCTTATTATTTTGAACAAATCTTACAGTTTTATTGTTAATACCGGAATCTTAGCACTATTTCTACAAAATGTATATTCTGAAACTATTTAAAACATAGCTGGGATTTTGTGAAACAAGACTGTAATTTGTTTTAGAGCAATTTTAGACTAGAGGTATAGAGAATTACATCACTATATCTACTAATATTTTAGAAATTTATGAAATAAGTGACCTTAAGAAATAAGATTAAAAAATAAACTGAAAAAACACTTAAATAAAAAAAATTAGTAGAAAAGTATGTTTAATACTGAAGTTAAACTGCACAGTGAAAATTCTAATAAGCGCAAACATTTCACTATGAATTTACTTGGAAAAAAATGTAGGTAGTGTGTTTTTTAAAAGATCATTTTATAAATGTACCAATTTTTTTAATAAATCTGTTAATTTTTTTTAAAACTGAAATAATTTCTAACCTTAACCTGATATGAAATTAGCAGAAGACTTAATGAATAAATTTCATTAGCAATTGTGAACACATAAATCAGCGAAAGACTACTAATTATTTTGAAAATATGTAATGATCTAATTTTTTAAAATTATTTTGGGAATGTTTAGTGAATAAATGAAGGATAAAATTTTAGCATAGTATTGTTTTATCAATGTTTATCCTAAATTTATGTTTTATGTCACACATTTGCAGCATCTAGTGTGACATAGGTCTAAAGTGACATCTAACCTAGTTCTTAATTTGATGTTGATGAACTGAAATATGGTTTTGATTTAAAAAAAACAAAGAAAATAAACATTGTTATTAGAGAAATGTACTTCATTTTTTAATTTGGTTATTTTTATTTGAAGTGAAATACTAAATAGAAATTTTGATAAATACATCCTTTTCATAACTCATTCATTATATTATCAGGGGTCTGTCCAGACATTTTGTGAAAGGTACCGTTTTTTTAAAATTGTGGAAAAATTACTCGTAATTTGCAAACATATAATAAACATTAAGTCACATTCTTTCAACTTTTATGAATTTGTGCCAATAGGGTCCTGTTATTGCTAAAAACCTTTTCAAGAAGTTTTTAAATTGTAAATAGATACTAGATTATGCTCAACACTATAAAATTATAATAAAAGAATTTAATTTTCAAAAATAAACAGCAATTGCTGCTTTTTAATTAGAGATGCAACATACAAATCTTTGGTATTTAGCATCCAAATTTCTTCTAAACAGACCCCCGATTATTATTAAAATACATTCTAAAATTTATATCAATTTAAATTAAAAAATTTATTTTTTCACAAGTATTTCAATTTTTTTATATAAAAATAGTGAAAACATGCCTAATAGATTATTAATAGGATATAAAATTATTTTTTGGTTTAAAAAAGTCCTGGAGTATTTTTGTATTGCTATTTGCCACACCAGCAAACAGCCGCCATATGGATTTCAAACTAAAAAAATTACCCTTGATAAAATTCTGGTGGGGGAGTACAATAATCAATTCACTCGGAGAAAGACATGCTAACTCAATTCTATCTTGAAGTATCTTTTGATAGATTGATATAATCAAAAGCTCATTCCCTACAGAATATTGTAGTGTGTCTACCACTATAAAAATATAATTCCCTAGTATATAAGACATGTTATTAACTCAATTCAATGGCAGGGCACCTTTTCATGGATGATTCCCACATACATATATTTATACTGGGCAGATAAATACAGTCTTGCAATTTATATTTTGTACTACTTTATGTTTGCAAATAAAAACTAAAATTTTTCATAACATTTCTGAAAACCATATCTGAGTTAAGAAATTAAAAGTAAACTTAAATAAAAAGATATGAAAATTATCCTTTAAATCACAGTACTATTATAACTTAGGTAGTGATTGTTTTTGTCACATTAGCTGTAACATATTTTTTTCAGTTTGCTGCAGTATTAGACATCTAATACATCTTAAACTAGCAAATTTCAGAAAATTTTTTTTACTGAACAGTAATTGATAAATTGAATTTAAGTACCATGTGAATTGGGGTTAATAATATAGAAAATAAAAAATGCATGCTATTTTAAATAAAAGCCCACTGGAAAAAGGCAACGCTTTTGCAACCCCGAACACAACCATAATATTTTTAATAAACTCTTAAATTATAGAGAAGAATCTAAAAATCTAAAACAAAATATATTGAAAAACAAGCTACTTATCTTTTACTCGGGCATACTTTTTAAACATAAAAAAGTTAAATAAAATAAACAAATATGAAGTAAGCAGTTTAATTATTGAAGAAAAACAGATGTTAACCGAAGAGTATTAGAAAAATGCCTATCAGAATTGGCGCAAAATTCAAATTTCATAAAGCCAATCTTATTTATTTTAACGGTAGCCTGTGCATGAATTAAGAAGATGAAGTTATTAATTTTTAAGGCTAGAAGAGTTAAATTTAATTTTATAGTACAAAAAAAAAACTATTTTTTCTTTTTTTTTTAATTTGCAGCTATCAGAAAAATTAAACAGTCAGTGCAAGCACATAGTCTAAACTTAAAATATTGTTTAGACCTGGTTTGAAAAAATGACAGATTCAAGCAATATCTTTTCTATTAGAATTTCGCCTTTTCATACGATAAAAATAAAATATAAACATTAAGAATGAAATATAATTACAGAACCTGTAGTAGCGGATAATGTGAACATTATTCCCAGGAATAAAGACCTGCCACCATCTATCCTAAAAACCAAACTAATCCAACCGGAAGTCTTGGGCTCCTATGTGACGTCATAGCATAACGGGACTATTTCTTCTACTGCAAACATTTTCGCGACAATAAAAAGAAAATGCTGACGCAAGGTTGCCGTGTGAAGTTTCTGACAGTGCTTTTCCGTAGACTCCCTAAGGCAGTGCTTTCCAAACTTTTTGTACCTGCGCCCCCCTCTTAGGAAAAAAAATTTGTTGTGTCCCCCTTAATTTTTCTAACAATCCAATTTCATAAACACTCATCTGATATTGTAATTTATTTAATGGGCTACAAAATAATATACAATATTACGTATAAAAATACATAAAAAATAATTATCTATTTTAAGAAATAATATAATGTAATAAAAACAAATCTTACAAAAGTACAAAAATTAGAATTCAACATTAATACAACATTATAAAAATTTAATGTGAAGGGTGAGCTTGTTTTTCAGCACAAATTTTGTCAAACCGTGGTATCATTGAAGATATTGCGGTTCTCAGTTCCTTTTCAATCTTTAAGCAAGATCGATACTTTAAGACAGCTACTGCAGAAAACCCAGTTTCACATTAGTAAGATGTTACAAAGGGCAATAAAATTTCTAAAGCTTTATTTGTTAAAGTAGGAAACTCGTCCTTTACTCGTAACCAAAACGTGACAATATTATTTTCGTGTTGAAACATCTGCTTTAATGTGCTGTCACTAGATAAGTCAATTATCATTTCCTGCAGTGCTGTTAAGGCCAAAATCATCATATTTTTCAATCACAAACGGGTTTCTAATCCATTCATATTTGGACATGTCAAGATCTTTAAAGTAAAACGAGAATTGCTCCCTTAAACTGGTCAAGTGTTTATTAATAAGAACTTTACTTTCTTCTATTTCATCTGCAAGACAGGTAATTTTAAAAGTGGGAAACATGTCAAAGTTATTATTTTTCAAACTTATTATCCACAGTTCCAATTTTCTCATAAATGCAGTAACCTTGTCTTTCTGGACAAAAGCATGAATTTGAGGCCCTTGCATTGATTTATTTAAAGTACTGAGTCTTTGAAAAATATCCACTAAATACGCAAGTTTTACAAGGAATTTCGTGTCATAAAACAAGTTTGCTTCATCTCTATTATTATCAGTAAGGAATATGGCGATCTCTTCTTTTAGCTCAAACACCCTTTGAAGTACTTTGGAACGAGAAAGCCAACGTGCCTCACAATAATATAGAAGTGATGTATATTCTGAACCCATGTCATTACACAATTTTGCGAAAAGCCTTCCTCTTAATGGGCTATTTTTGATAAAATTTACAACTCTTATAATAACTTGAAATACTGTTAGTAAATCTTCACCCATATCTCTTGAAACAAGTGATTGTCTATGAATCATGCAATGCGTCCAACTTGCCCGAGGAGCCACCTTTCGAACTAGTGCCTGTAGACCAGCGTTTTTTCCTGCCATAGATGGAGCTCCATCTGTGCATAGTCCAACACAGTTCTCCCACAGAATGTTATATTCATTGAAAAATTTATCAATCATATTAAAAACTTCACTTGCTGTAGTATTGCCTTCAATAGGTTTACAGAATAACATGTCTTCTCTAACATCAGTTTCCACAACATATCTTACATATGTAATCAAGTGTGCATCCTTAAGAACATCTGTAGCCTCATCTACTTGCAACGCGAAAGAAGATAGTTTTACTTTTTCTATTAATTGATCGCAAAGATCTTCAGATATATCGGATATTCGTCTTCCCACCGTATTATTTGCAAGTGGAATGATTTTAAGTTGATCAGCATATGATTCACCTAGCATCGTAGCTACCATGTCAATAGCTGCAGGTAGCACTAAAGTTTCTCCTATTACATGGGGTTTTTTGCATTTAGCAATTCTATAAGAAACCTTATAAGACGCAAGCAATGCTTTTTGTGTAACAGACATGGTCTTTGAAAACATTTCTTTTTGTTTATTTAAATTCTCCAATTTTCTTTGGAAAAATTCTATTGTCTTGCCAACGTGATCTGCATGTACGTTTTCGAGATGCCGTTTTATAATTAATTTGGTTTCATGCTGTCTGAGGCCAAAGTATTCAGACACAGCAAACACATTGGTCGTTCTTGGCCATTAATGACTTTACATGTAAATCCAAATGATAAGTACATTGGATCATATTTTCTACATTAAGGTTTACTATTTTGCGAAGATGTTCCGCTATTTTCGTTACCTCTTCTTTTGCCGTCTGCTTCTGCTTCATTCAATTTTCTTTTCAACCCAGTTACGTATTTATTCATCTAAAAGGGCTATTATTTTAAATCAAATAAAAATACTTTATAACAGTTTTGAAATTTACCTCAATATTAATTTAGAAGTGTACCAAAGCGAGTTTGTAGAGTCTGTAGACAATCTGCGTGGAAACGGTCGAGTTTAACCAACGTTTCTTAACGAACTGACTGGAACTTTACTGAAGTTTGGCGGGAGTAACCCCGAGAATACCCGGGAGCACGATTCCCGGGATGATCCGAGTGCTTGTCTAGTGTTTCCTCGCGCTCGGCTCCAAACGGGAAAGCAAGATGTTTTCGTTCCAGCAAGAGTATGGATGGATTATTTTGCATTTATACCCGAGAAATTCGCGGCGAGGATTGTGAATTACGTATAACCGTTTTTCTGATTAATTTTTTTGACACCTATTCGACTTTTTTGGTTTGTATTCGAAAATGATATTTTGGAATCAGCTGCGTGCCCCCCCCCCCTCTGCAACAGTCTCGTGCCCCCCTAGGGGGGCACGCCCCACAGTTTGGAACACACTACCCTAAGGACTTTAATCCTGATTTAATTTCCCTAGAATTAGGGAAGTTGAATATCGAAGTACATAAAATGGTTCAGTTCAAGAAGAGGGAGGGCGGGGCCTATAGGCTTCTCCCACTTTTCCTAGTCATCGTCCCGCAGCTGGCCAATCATGAGAAGATTTACCACACCGAGAAGATCAGAGATTTCCCGGTCAGCATGGAGAGATTTCACGGTGGCCGTCGGCCGCTACAGTGTTATCGATGCTTAGCTTTTGGACACACCCAGAATTCCTGTACCGGCCAACCAAAATGCATGAAGTGTGCCGAAGGGCACTACTCCTTCCAGTGCAAGAAATCTAAAGATATTCCAGCAACTTGTTACAACTGCAGCAAAGCTCACATATCCAACTACTCAGGGTGCGAGGCCCGCCCCTGTAAAGAGAATTTCAGAAGGAAAAAGTCCTCCCCAGCCTCATCTGCACACAGACTCGTCTCGCTAATTAAAGAACTGTAAGAGCTGATGAAAAATGAAGAGGTTCTACTCCTTCTTCAATCCTTTTTACCCCACTCTACCCTTATTGCTTCAACATCTTAGATGAACGAGTAGATAGCCCTACGGGCTAGGAACTCTAAAAACCTAGGTTATATCAGTAAGGTTGTCGTGTGGTTACATCCCTTCTGGGAAGCTACTGGAAAGGGAAACACCGTTTGAGATTTTCTATTGTCATAAGCCGTCCGTTCCAGATCTTTAGCGTATATCATAGAGTAACACACACCAACCAAATTCAGAAGTAGGATTTGTGTCAATACTAAAGACTATCGAATTTACTTGCCTAAATATAGAAAAATTGCAGAAACTGTACGCGTAAAAATTTTTGGAAGTAAAAACGGAATTAACACTATTTTACCTTAATAATTCTTCCAATAATTCTACTATTTATCTAACCTGAACCAGTCCCGCAGTGGACTGATCGTTAAGACACGGTTCCCAGCAAATCACCGAAGTCAAGCATCACTGGCTGCTGTCAGTGAGCGGGTGGATGACCACTTGGATCAGTCTGCGTGGGGACCGAGAGTGTGCGGTATGGGTCCTCGTTAAACTGTTCTACCGTAAAGTGCTCGACTTCGCGTGTAGGTCGTCGCGCTACCGAAGCGGGGGTGCCATCCCCTCTGCAGAGGATCAAAATTGTGATGGCATGCCTTCGGATCATCCTCAGAATCCTTCGGATCGTAAATAAACTACAACTACAACTAACCCGAACCATGAGCCTCATTAATGAGAAAACAGAGCTATAAGCTAACGCAAAGAGCTAGTCGCACTATTCTACAAAACTACAAACAAATCTATAATCAAAATTTTCTATTCTGTCATTGTTTAGGTTGCTAAGAATCTTCCCCTTTGAGTTTTATATTTAATTATAATTTTAAACAATGGCTGAAGCCGATCATTCGCAAAAAGTTACTGAGTTTTGTAACTTAACCGGCGCTGATGCTGATTGTGCAAGATTTTATTTGGAGGCCGCTGCTTGGAATACAAATGTAACTTAATTTTTGTTATCAAAAGTGGAATGTTTTCATTCAATTTGATTCTTTCATTTTTATTATATCTCCTGTATCATTTACGTTTAAATGTCATGCAAGTATCATTGAAGCAAACAAGTCTTACTCATAAAAACGTTAATTTTTTTTTGTAATGAATGATTTCTTTTTGACAACGAAATTCAAGAAGAAAAAAATACGAAGCTCGAATTAGTTAAATATCAAATTATGTTGAAAATCTTTCACAATACTACAAAAATAAGTGTGTAAAATTCATCTTGCAGGTTGGACATCAATTGTCCAGTTGGGAAGTGGATGTACATAATGGTGTTCCAAACCTAAGTTGTTCTGCAATGAATTTCATTTTTCTGTGATTGTTGTGAGCAATTTTTGTTTTTAGGTTCTTTTTTGTATCAGTATTTTCCATTATTCTTTTTTTTAGTGGGAGTTCTCAAATTTCTTTTCTAATAACAGGGTTCAGTCCAAGCCAAATTTACTACTGTTCACAAATTCAACTTAAATGGTAGTTTCACAAAATACTTTAAATTATCTTTTTAGGAACTTTTTCAATAATGAAGGGAAAAAGTCCTCCTTGCTATTCACATTTCTGACAAGTGAATTGTTCACATTTATTCTGAAATTGTTTTTTTTTGAAAAACACTTATTAAATTAAAGAAATGAATCTTTCTTTTGCAACATTTTGATCAAATTATGCATATAATACAAACATTTAAAACATAGTCTATAAGTGTTTTTAAATTTAGTATATAAAATAAAAGTAACTTTTTTTTGTGTCATTCTGTCGCATGTTTTAGTATATATATATATATTTTTTTAAATAGCAATTGCATTTCAAAATGAAAATGTGTATATTTAGGATATTGCATAAGAATCAATGAGAGATTATAGAATTGTATGCATTTGATTATTAACTTCCAATAATTAATGTGACAGAATGACAAAATGAGTCCTTGAAAAGCTTATTCAAAAATTAGAGAATTATTTCTTTTTCAATTAACCTAATGGCTAAAACAGCTGTTGAAAGATAGATGGAATCTAGAAAAGGAACAAGATCCCCATGATATGATTTAAAAAAAAGGCAGAGAAGAAAGCTTCTACACCAAAAGCTGAACTTTTTCAATTTAATTTCATTTTTAATTAACCTAATGGCTAAAACAGCTGTTGAAGGATAGATAGAATGTAGAAAAGGAACAAGATCCCCATGATATGATGAAAAGAAAAAGGCAGAGAAGAAAGCTTCTAAGACAAAAGCTGAACTTAAACTTAGAACAAACTTCGACAAACACTGTTGTGCAGAAATTGTGTGAACAAATAAAAAATAAAATTCTACCAACTTCTTCACATACAAATAAATCCCCCACACAAGTCCTGGCAGAATCTTGGTAAAGCCGTAAAAAAAGTTTTTACACTCACTTTAAAAATCTAGCTTCAACTCTTTCTTTACTCTGTTTTTTAAGTTTAAAATCAATAAATATATAAGATACAGAGTATAACAGTTTTGGTTACCCCTATCATTTGAATTAATGTTATTATAATACTTTTTTAAATTTATTGTTGTGTTTTTGTGGAGAAAATAGTAATTTCTGTAAGTCGTAAAAAATTCTTGGATTTCTTCATGAAATGTCATGGATTTGAAAATCTAAAATGTAGCAGATACCCTGTGTTTAGTTAGTTCACTGATTAATGTAACAATTATAATTTATAAAAAATATAAATGTGTTAATTTTTTCAATCAATTCAAGGGTTTAACTAATTTACGATTGATATTTAGTACAGTTATTGAAATAAATTTCCTATTTGCATGTTATTTTATTATGTTATAATAGCTTCAGTACCTCTACTTTCTTGACTGTGCAGCTCAGCATCATTAGAAATAATAGTTTCAAATTTCCCTCTTATTCATACAAAATTGAAAAATGAACTTTGCAGAAAGTTACAAAACATCTGCACGCCTGGAAAGTCATGAATTTCGGTATTAAACAAAATTTGTCATTAAATGTCATGATTTTAACTATTTTTAAAAAAAATCATGAATTTAGGTCGCCGAAAAATCAAATTTTTAAAATGGAAATCAACTCTTAATTTCATCTTGTTCGGAATATCTGAAGTTGTAATAAAAATTCTCGCTCACAGTCATATTTGATTAAAATATAAAATGTTTTTATCATGCTCTTTGAAAGTTATGGTGTTCTTTCAAAAAATGAAGAAAAAAAAACATCATTTCTAGAGCAAATTATCTTTTAAACTTCTGTAATTTCAGAATTTTTGTTATTATTAATTTTTTTTAATTTATCAATTTAAAATTTTAGCTAAAGCAAACATGTCATTGGCAAATTTTTTTTATTCCGAAATGAGAACATAAAAATTTGTAATATTTCTTTCATTTCCGTTGAACAAGAAAAGTAACTTCAGAATATAATTCTGCAGAAAAAAATTATTTGCTTTTGTATTTTTTTCACTTATTTTATTGCTTCAACTCTTTCTTTAAATTTAAAATCCATAAATGTGAGGATGCAGAGTATAACAGTTTTGGTTATACCCATCATTTCAATTGATGCTCTTTTAAATTTATTGTTGTGTTTTTGTCGGAGAAATAGTAACTTCGTAAAGTCATGAAAAATTCTTGGAGTTAGTCATGGAAAGTCATGAATTTGAAAATCTAAAATGTAGCAGATACCCTGTAATTGAAAATGATTTTTAAATATAATGATTAAGGTGGCTGTTGAGTGTTTAGTTAAGTTGATTGTTTATTTATTTAGATTTCAAATATTTTAACAAATGAACAGATTGGATAAACTATATTTTTATTTATAATTATTTAATATTTTCCACAGAAAAATTTGGGTTTATGATAGTAATTGTCCAAGGATAGTAATAATCCAGAGGAGAGTTTAACATCAAAATAATTTTTGAAAATAATCGATTGATTATGTTTATTTATAAATATTTCTTTTTTATGAAAGCTAATGATTATCTTTACACTAAAATTTTGGATTTTTGACATGACGGATAAAACCATGGTTAAAATCGAATGAAATTGTCAAAACTTGCCAACCCTTAACTAGATTGTATTAAAACTTAGTAAAACATAAGTTGGTGTGAATGTGTTAAAAGTGATAAAATTCAGAACTTTTCTTATCTATTTAAGACTTTTATTTAGTTTTCTAGAAAGTGTGTAAAACTAATTAAAATTTGTTTGTAATATATATTTATTGCTGATCAATAAGAAGAAAATATCAGTAGAGTGACCTGGGGTAATTCCTGATCAAAAAATGCAAACATCTATTTCGTGAAAAAACTATTCAAGATAGAATTTTAATATTAACTGGAAGTTTGAGGGTTTATGAGATGAGTCCTATGCTACCTTCTTTTGTTTGAAAATCTAATTAGAATTTAAAAGATTTTAAATTTTTAGTGATCAGGAATTACCCCTTCTCTTGATAATTTCTGGGGTAATTACTGATCACCAGTTTTTATAGTAAAGGGGCTGTTTAAAAATAATTATACTAAGGTAATTAACAAATAAGACATCAAGATCAAACTAATAAGCCAAAAAGATATGTTTAAGCAGCTAATAAAACGATTTATTTAATAGCAAGAATAAAGATTAACACTTTAAATTTTCCAATTATCTTTGTTTTGTGCCATACATTTTAGGCAAGCAGCCAACTCATTCTCATGTTCTGCAGGAATATAAAAAAAGAGTTTGTTGGACTTTTTAACTTCATTAAGTGAGAGTGTAAAATTAAGTTAAGTATGTCAACAGCTCTCACACTGAAATTTTCATTTTCAGTCATTAAAAGAAATTCACTGATTTTGCTTTCTAAAAGCTTAGTGTCCTTTTGAGGCTTATAATTTCTCACCATATTTATTATTAAGTTAATTTATAAACTTAAAAATTATTCTAACAATGTACACACATAAATTTAATATAGAAGGAAGGTAAGACAAACCAGAAATGGTGCAAATCAGAACACATTTGTCGTGTATAGGGGTGATTCTTTTGTTACGTGTGTTACTTTTACACAGGGTTGGGTTTTTGACGTCAAAAAGTGGTTTTTGACATGACAAGGGTATAATACTGGTTTAAACCGTCAAAAACCCGTCAAAAATGTCAAAAACTGAAGTTTGCCAAGAAAATATATAAACTTCAAAACTACCAACAGTTGCCATGCATTATATTGAAATTTAATTATACTATAGGTAATCAGCAGGTTTTAAAATATTTTTTAATTAAAATTAAGGTAAAATAACAGATTTAAAATCTCAGAAATTTATATTCAAATGCATGTGCAGAAAAATTTTGCACAAAAATTGTTTAAATATTTATATTTAAAAAAATTTTTTTTTTCTTTTTGATACTTAAGAAAATTAAAAGTTTATTACTATGCATTTTTGACATATAAGGAACATATAACTAATATTTATAAGGAACTTACAAGTTATGTTGTATAAATACAAACTTGATACAAGATACAAGTGTATAAAAAATTTTTTTTAATGTTATACCGAATATCTTTATTATCCAGTATGTTAATTTGAATTTAAAAGTAGTTATATTTATGAATAATGATAAATATAATTCATATTGTTTATTATATTTATTTATAATTATTACACTTATCATTTTAAAACAATTTTTATCTCTTAATTTTTTTTTCTCCACTTGTATTAAGAATACAAATAATGCATATCTTGAAAGCAAGAAGTAATTATTCAACAGCTGAATATTTAGATATTCAACAAAACTATATAGTATTCAGCAAAATGAAATTCACAAGTATTTGGATAAACTAAATTTTCAGCATAGTAAATGAATAGGCTGAATATACTGTAAATCGACACTAACTACTCTGTGTATTTAACAGAAAGCACTTAAATTTGTATTGTCTTATGTTAAAAAGATTATTAAGAAGATTTAAAAGAATATTAAAAAGATTTTTCTTTAAAAGATGTCTAATGTACAAAACTGCTAATGT